AAAAAAAAAAAAAAAAAAAAAAAAAAAAAAAAAAAAAAAAGGTCTCATGTATGAGGAAAGTGACTAAGACACAGGCACTGTTAGACAGTGTTCCATTAGTTAAGACAAAATACCTGAGAAAGTCAACTTAAAAGAAGGAAGATGGCTCACAGTTTCAGAGGTTTCAGTCTATGGTGTGTTTGGATCCATGGTTTTGGGAGCTGTGGTGAAGTGGAACACCATGGTGGGAGCACATAGTGGAGCACAGCTGCTTGCCTCATGGAGGCTGAAGAGAAAGAGAGAGGAAAGGACCAGCATTCTTCTGTTCACCTTAAGTCCATACCCGCAAGACCTAACTTCCTCCCACTGGGCTCTGCCTCTCGATCTTTATCAGATGAGTCTTTGGAGGAAACTGAAGATCCAAACCATAACAGGCACTTGTTAACTAAAAAAGTATATTTCTATACTTTCCTTCTAGAGATTGTAGCCTGAGCATTATAAAGGTTAAAAGGAGAAGACAGTTGTTTAATTAGTTGCTGTTAGAAATCCCAGGGCTAATTGGAGCCAAGGGATAGTTAGTGGAAATTCTGCATGTTCCGGATGATACTTTCTTGCCAGATAGCTGTCCTTCTCTCACCCAGACAAAGGCGCTGTCAGCTCATCTTACGCAGGGAGCTAATTGCCACATTGACTGAGGTGCTAGACAGACTCAGCACTTCTGAGAAAGGAAATATAATAGCCTTGTGGGCTTGAGGGAGTATCAGCAGGTGTTTGCAATGGAAAATGTTGGGTTGAATCTAAAATATGCAGCACAGAAAGGAATAAGCTCTAGAAAATAAAGTATCATATTCAGTAAAGGACCTCACATTCAAGTACTCTGACCCTTTGCTGAGTGCTGTTTCACCTTACCTGGGGTTGAGAAAAGTGGGGATCAAGCAGATTAAAATTCACTGTCTCCCATCCAGTGAGCCTTACTTATGGGTTTTCTTTCATGATGGTTGTTGTTAAGCAAGCAATACTTTCCCACAATCCTTATTCCTTCCCCATCCTGTAATTCATGAGAAACCTCAGATCCTATCTTTGCCTTAGATTTTACAAGGCCCTGGATTTTTCTGCATTTGTGTATAAATCCAGCCATATTATACATTTCTCAAAGGCTTTCTTTCTAGTTTATTGCCTTAGACTAATGTAAACAATGTATGTCGATTGAATAAAAATATTTGGACTAGGTACACAATTACTCAAGTTCAGCACAAATTAAAAGTGCAAGACCCTTTCTTCAAAAGCAGTAAAAAAAATAAATAAAGGCACTAAAATATAAAGTTTATTCCTCTCTTCTGTATTTCTCTCTTAACCTAACATGGCGAAGTCTTGTTTGCTTGTTTGTTTGCTTTTTAACATTACCATAGGAGAAAAATTATAATTTTATATTAAATTGATATTTTTTTCCTGTTCACCTTTGTATGGTGCAATACCAGTTTTGAATGCAAGCATGAGAGCATCGCTTCAAATAAGGAATTATGGAACCGGCACATTTCCTGTCTAGTAGCTGATAGATGAATAGGATTTTCTTTCTCACAGGAACTGGAAATGCTGCACTAAACTGTCTTTATTTCACTTCACGATATACACACATCCTACCAACATCCTCTGCCTTCGATACACTGATGGGAAAGGAAACACTGCTTTTCTCTTTCCTTCTACTCATGCTTCTCTGCATGTGTGGTTGGTGGATACAGGGATGCATCTCACAAGAAAGGGCACTTGTAGGGCTCCTGGTTGTTCTTGCAGTTGATTCTGCACTCAGAGTGAGTCCTTGTGGCCGTCAGCTTTCCACCTCTTAGCCATGAGGATAGCACACTTCCCTCTCACATGCACTTTTGGTCTCCCTGGATGCCATACATCAGGGCCCACCAGAATTCTGTGCTCCTAGGGCATTCTGAGCTCTATATCCAAATGAAGTGAAAAGGATCTGGGTATGTACGTTTTTCAGGTGCATGATTTATTTTTTATTTTTTTATTTTTAAGAGTAGGAAGAGCTTATTGAGAGAAAGACACTTTCTGCCTCAGAGAAACAGAAGGGGAACCAGAAAGTGAGTTGTCCCTAGGTGCATGATTTATTGTCCTACAAGGCTTGCAAAAATGAACTATAAAGGTAAAACTATAAAGATTTCAAGACGGCAGCAATAGAGCATTAAACAGAGCCTAGCACTCTTCTAGGAACAGAGCCCTGTGAGACTGCACAGGTCCTTGGCCCAGGAAGCCAACCCTGGATCAAGCATCTAGAGCAACCAAGGTCAAAGAGAAACCAGTTCTCCTCTGAAGGCCCAACGGGAAGATCCCACAAAATTTATCACAGTACACTAGAGTTCAGAAGGGAACACATTACTGCTGCACCTTCCCAGGAAGCCAGGCCTCCTCACCCTGACCAGGGCCCTCCTTGGCTTCCAGGAATATGGGATGTGGAGACTGTGGTCTGTCTGCAGGGTTGATGGCCTCCAGGTGTGCAGGCTTCAAAAGAATTGCTCAAAGTCAAGGTGCGAAAAGAGGGAGAAGCTCAGGCAATAAGGAAATGAGTAAGGGAAAGAACACATTAGCTGACATAGTGGAGCATTTGTGTAAAAATTACTGATGAGTAGTCTGAAAAATTACTGATACATGTATGGAAAACCTTAAGAACATCTCATAGAAAGCAAGGACAATCAGAGTTATACAAAAAGGACTATAACCTTAACACAAGCTACACAGAGGAGAGAGTACCTGGGCAGGCACTGTGTGAGCAATGAGGCTGGTTTTTTTAATACTTGGGTGCTGGTGAATGGGCTGAGCCCAAAGGGAAGTCAGTGTAGAGCAAGCAGAGAACAGAATTTAAAGAGAAGGGGAAGGGTTATCGCCTTGAGGATATAGGGGTGCAGGTAGAGTGCAGTCACTTTTCTTGGGCTGGCTACTGTCTTTTCTTTGTTTTTCCTTGAAGTTTCCTGTACTTGGGCTGCAGAGGCCCCATGGCCCCTGAGCTGTGCTCAGCACTTTGCTCTTGTCTGTGTAGTTGTGATTGTCTTACTCACCAGTGTGACACTTTTCTCCACCGTGGACTGCGTAGTCAAAAGACTGTCAACTGGGCTGGGGATTTAGCTCTGTGCTTCCGGCGCCTGCCGCCTGCCTCCCAAGCACAAGGACTCAAGTTCGATCCCCAGTACCAAAAAAAAAAAAAAAAAAAAACT